AAAGGTGTGTTAGCACAGCTGCCCCAATACACAGCAGGGCACCTTAGACTGAGAGGATGAGGGAGAAAGAACACCCCTAGCAGCCACCACTAAAAAGTGAGGGTGGTCTCCTGGGCTTGTGGCAGAGAGATGCCAGCTCTGTTCTGTCACCAGGGGCACAGCACACACACACACAGGCAGCTCCTTGATAAGTCAGCCATGAAGAAGGGACCCGGATGGGACTGATTTTTCTTCCACTCCCCATGACAGTGCCAGCTTCAATGAGCGCACCTTGTAACCTGGAAGTGGAACGAGTTGCTACCTGGAGTCGAGGTGGATGTCCCTACAGCCCTGCTATTCACCTCATCAGCTCTGCTCAGAAGCAGCTTTAGGAGGATTTGAATTCTTTTTTTTTGGTACCAGGGTCCAAACTTGGGATCTTGCACTTGCGCGGCAGGCACCAGAACCACTGAGCTAAATCCCCGGCCCTAGGGGGATTTGAATTCTAAGACCTTGAGGTTCATTTCCCATCTTGACAACACAGTTTTTTCTTTGTGGTGCAGGGGATGGAACCTAGGCAAGTGCTCACCACCAAGTGGCACCCCCAGCCAAATGAATGACGTTTAACACAGGGATATGCTTAGGAAAGGAGCCACACAGCCAGGAGTGGGTGGCAAGCAACTGGGCAAAGCTTCTTCTGGATTCCCCTATGGCTCCATCGCTGCCCAAGCCCTGCCTCCTTCCAGACCATCGCAGCATGATTCTCCTAGGAGAGCGGCTCCTGCTGTGAACTGCACATGCACAGGATGGAGGTTGTGGCTCCTTGAGAGAACCTAATGCCTGGTGAGATATCTGACGGGGGGCCGAGGTAGTGACACTAGTGCTGGGGACTGAGTTACTGCATTACATATCACAAATATGCTAATAAAAGGAAGAAACTAAACCCTCCCCCCACGTCTGTGGAAAATGTGTCTTCCAGGAAACTGGTCCCTGGTGCTGAAGAGGCTGGGGACCACTGGTTCAACATAAGGAGCTACAACCCCATCCTGTGTAAAAGGCAACTGTCTGACTCTTGGTCTTTCTTTTCTGTCAAGGCAAAAAGATCCCAACCACTCCATGGTGCAGGACTGTGGTGAGCTAGGGCAGCTTCAGTGAAGGGATGAAGAAAAAATGACACTTACTTGTCATCTCTCTTTAGAAAGACGCCGACATAGGGCTGGGCAAGTCGAACCTTCCTTCTTAGCAGCTCAACCAACTTCTTATTTTTAACCTAGCATGACAATGACCCCAAAGTGAAATGCAGGGTACGTGGTCTAGCTGGGAAATTGACAGTGGCCCTAGAGTTTTCTAGATCATTCTCTGGGGACAGGCTAATCTAATCTAGGACACTAGTCAAGATAGTCCAGGGAACACTGAACTGAACAAAAGACGAAGCAGGAGTTGGGTGAGACAAGATTAACTAGTAACTACTTGTTTTCCTTAGGGATCCTTTCCTTTCTGAAGAGAATTTAAACTAGACAAATGGTCAGAAACAAGAAATTAATACCTCACTCCTAAATCTGTTCTAGGGGCAAAATGTCTTAGTTTTGTGTTGCTGTGGTACTGGGAATTGAACCTAGGGCCTCTGCACTGAGCTACATCCCCAGTCCTTTTTATTTTTTATTTTTTTGGTACTGGGGATCGAACTCGGGTCCTTGCCCTTGCACAGCAAGCAGCGAAACCACTAAGCTAAATCCCCGGCCTCTCCTTTTTAATTTTTGAGACAGCCTGACTAAGTCACACAGGCTGGGCTCGAATTTGCAATCCTCTTGCCTCAGCCTCCCAGAGTGCTGGGATGACAGATGTACACCAGCTTAAAATGTCTTCATTTGAAAACCAAAACCACTGTTTTCATTAACCTAAGGACAACACTGTGTGTAACTCAAACATGGCCCATCCCCCAGATTGACAACTTCCTCCAATCTTCAGATAAAACTGTTTCCTAACTACAGCTGGGTGCTATGTATTGATGTTCAAAATCCTCAGGATGACAGAACATTCTTGATGTCACTCAGGGCGGGTTCAAGGCTGGTGCTGTCTTCTAGGACACATGTGATGTGCTTAAGCTCAGCTGATTCTTTTCAAGTCCTTGTTCCTTCCTAGGCCAGATTTTTCTTTGTGGTGATACTGTGAATTGACTGAGGAGTATTCTACCACTGAGCTACATCCTCAGCCCTTTTTGAGACAAGGTCTTACCAAGTTGCCCAGGTTAGGCTTGAATTTGGAATTTTTCTGCCTCAGCCTCCTAAGTAGCTGGATTAGAGGTGGGCACTGCCTCGCCTGTCTCCCTGGGCCAGATGTTGATTGACAGCCGTTAAACTCTGAAGGGCACTAGAAACACCAGGAAGACTGGTGTGGGACCTTACCTGTGGGGTTCCTGACTGAGGAGAATGCAGGGGCCGAGAACCTGCATTTCCAACAAATCCCCAGATGATGCTGATCCAGGGATCACACACTGAGGACCGGTGTTTCAACCCACTCCACCACAGGGGCTCTTGGCTTTTGTCTGGGAGTTCTGGACACTAGAAATTACTGTACTTTTGCTGGGAAGAAAACCCAACACATCTGAGGAACCATGACCCACTACAAACTCCTCCAATAAACCCACTGCTCTATACTCAAGAGTTAGGAGAGGTTACTACAAGTTAGTCACATAGTGCCAACTACAAAATCAAGAATAAAGAGCTTTGCTAACCGGTTCAGAAACATTTATTGGCTCCCAGAGGTGTCCCATTTCCCCACAGCCAAGGACTGACTACTGTGTCCTCAGCACCTATCTGCCCACCCTGCAGTCCCCATTGGGTTTTGTTACTTACAAAGCCACACCAACAGAAAACCAGTGAGGACCACGGTCCAGTCTCTAAGTGCTGCCACAGTGACTCACTGAACCCTCCTGGCTAGCCTAGATGGACAGACAGCTCTCCAAAGAGCCATCTCTCTCTGCAGGGGCTGGGGCAAGGAGCATGCGTCTCTTTCCAGGGCTGAGGACCAGACCTGAATTGTCCTGGCCCCAGAAGTCTGGGGTGGTGGGTTTAAGAGGATTGCGAGGGCTAAGGAGAGGATGGGACAAAGTCTTCCAGAACTGTTCTGAAATATCATAAATGTCTTCCATGCTGATAAGTGCTAACTGGCCCCGGGGGAAAAAGCAGCAGCTTATTACTGAGACAAACTAAGTGGCAGGCACAGCTGCAAATCCTTCATATACAGGACCTCATAACTTCCACAACAGCTTCAAGAAATAAAGACACCATTTTGATGTCCATTTCATGGAGGAGAAAATGAAGGTTGTGAAGAATGACTAGCTGACTGGTCTGGCTTTGGGGTCAACCTTTGCAACGACTATAACACTAAGGGCACGCTACACACAGCAGTGTGGGAGAAGGGGCGAGGGGACTCCTGGCCCTGCCCACTCCTGGTCTGCTGCCTCTCTGAACTGTCCTTTCCCTAGCCAAGAGACCCTTGCAGATTTATTTAGCAGAGGATACAGCAAAGGAAGAGCTGAAGGGCGAATATAGAGGCTATGAGACCTTGCTTCCGTAGTTTGCTGTTAACTTTTCTCTTTCATGATCTTAAGTTCCACAGTAAATTGTTTTAAAAATGTTTCTCAAAAACGGAGGTGGAAAAAAAAAATCGGAGGAGGAGGTGGGGGTTATGGGATAAAATAAAATTTATTTTAAAACTTAAAAACATTTTTTAAAGGGAAGTGATAGTGTAATTTAAAAACAAAACGGAGGTGAGGTGGGGAGAAGAAGGCCTGTGAGTCTTTCCTCTGAAAGTTCACATTCCTTTGAACTCACTGATTTCTGGCTGTTACATCATCCTGTTTCTTCCCTTCCCCCTCATAGCTCTTCTTCTGCCAGGATCTTACTGGTTCATGGTCTCTTCCACCAAGACATAAGCTCCTTAGGCCAGAGACTGTGTCTGACTTGTTTAGTACTGTACCCTGGTAGGTCAAACACACTCTACTGAACGAATAAATCGTGTCCTCTTACCACCTTTCTCCAGCCTCGAGTACCGTTCCTTGCTATCCGATTTCTAGTAGTAATTACTGCCCTTCTCAACCCAGAAGATAAGCTGTAAGAGCAAGAATTTTTGTATCTCTGGCACCTAGGCCTTTGACACAGCTCAAGCAATCAAAGACATACTTGTTTAAGGCGGGAATGAATCTTGATCCCAAACAGGCTCTCAAACTGTCGCCTGAGGGAGCGCTGCAAAACACTTAACAAGATCCACGGGAAAGTAAGCGGATCTCTATCACCAGGATTCTCAAGAGGACACTCCTAAGTTCATCGGGTTCAACTCCTCTCTTCTGATCCTAAAGGACTCGAAAGGGGGAAGTTTGGCTCAAGCATGCCCAACTAGTGCTGAGCGGACAAGGATTCGAGTCCGAGACCTTTCAAGAGTTGTGAGGCCCGAGGGCGCTAACCTGTTGCTGGCGGGGAAGGGGGCGGGGCCGGGGGGGCTCATTACCTCGACAATCTTGATAAAGCGCGGGAACACCGGGTTGCGGGTGATGGCGATAAGCGGGAGGTGCGGGAACACGTCCGGGATCGTCATGGGCGTGAGCGCCGTGACGACGGGGCCTTCCCCGCTGCCTGTGCCGCCCCCTACGCCCCCGGCTCCTTCCTCCGCGCCTCCCTCGGAGGCATCCCCGCCTCCGGAGAACGCCCCCCCGCCGCCGCGGCTATTCGCCTCCCAAATCCCTCGCCACTGGCCTGCGGTGGCCGGCCAGTGGCCCCAAAGCGCCCAAGGAGGTATGGCGTCGCAGGCCCGCCGGCCTCTCAGTAACCACACTCCAGTTGCAGTCGGGAGCCGCCCCCCGGCGGCAACCAAGAGAGGCCGCCGCAGTGCCCAGCACCGTGCCGCGGCCCACAGGCGCACGTAGCCTGTGCTCGCCGCCATGGCTTGGCCATACTGCCCGCGCACGGCACTGACTTCACTTCCGCTCACTAGGCTGGTGCGCACGTGACGCGAGGTGCGTATCTAAACTGGGGGGGCGTGGTCAGAAACCGAGCTTTTTCAGAGGGCGGGGCTCGGGAGCGGGTGGAGGCAAGGTGGGGGTGGTACGAGCTCCCTCTTGACCTTCGCTTCCTTTGGCGGTCTTGCTGTCGCGCTCTAGGCCCCTTGGAATCACGTGGGCACGCACTAGCACCACTAAGGAGTACTGCTGCAAGCTCAGCCTTTGAAAATTTTGTAGGCAGCCTTTTGCCCATGTTTAGGCGCGCGGGTGTAAGGAACCAGCTCAAACTCTTGGGGTGTGTAGGCAGGTTCGCACTTCCGGGATACAGCGTGCGATTGCTCAGACTACATTTGCAAGAACGGGCGCGTGCGCATGCCCAGGCCCTGGCTCCACCTTCGGGCGGGCACATTTTGGGGGTCTCAAGGGATACAACTGCGAATGCTCAGATTCCGTGAGGCGCTCTGTGCCGCTGAGTGTGCAGGCTGATTTTGGGATTACTCAGTGCGCATGTTCAGGTTCTGCGCTGCGCATGCCCAGATTGTGCGGCAACTGCGGGTGCCGGTTGAGTGCCCTTGTTGGCTCCGGAGAACCCAACACAGATGCTGATGTCTATATTGATAGCGGTGGCGGCGACCCTGCGGCTCTGGCCGCTGGTTGGAGCTCAGCCACTGTGCCGGTGGGGCTTCCCTCCCGGGGATTACAAGGGATTGGCTCACCCTGAAGCTGAAGCCATTGAGGCTTCGCTTTACTCTTCATGGGCATCCGGCCGCTGCCTCCCTGTCGTCCCACTGTAGAGTCCTATTTCAACTTCCGGACCTGGACCTGGCGCCGATCCCTCCGTGCCCACCCTAGGCTTTGCCCTGCTGTCCACAGACAGATCCCTAAACGATCTGATCTTGTCCTTCCCCTCCCTGGCTCTCTGATGGAAGCTGCCCTAGGAGCCTGTAGCCCATCGCTGTTCACCTCGGGTCGGATAAATCTCTGCCAGAAGCTGTGCTGTGCAGTGCACCATGTTTAGCACCGTCTCTGGTCTCCGCCCTTTAGATGCTGGGAAAACTTCCTCCCCAGCCTTGGTGATCAGTCAAAAAAGAGTCTAGGTATTGCCAGGTGTCCCCTGGGGATCGGAGAACCCCTGGTCTGACCCCTGGGTCTCCATGCTCTAAGCCAGGCCACCTCGGTCCATCTACGGCACCTGCTTGCTTTTTTTTCAATCCCAGTACTGGAAATTGAACGCAGGGCCTTTGCAATGAGCTATATCTCTAGCCCTTTTTATTTATCTAGCCCAGGGTGGTTTCCAATTTGGGATCATCCTGCCTCAGCCTCCCGGAGTGCTGGGATGACAGTTGTGCCCCACCACACCCACCTCCCCTTACCTTTCTATTTTCTGTTCCCCATAGCTGCTTTTTCCTATCACTAACCGATGTTAATTTATTTGACAAATTGTTTCTTGTATGTTACTGTCACTGGAATATTAGTTAATTTGCTTTGTGCTGGGGATAGAACTCAGGGCCTCCCACAGGCTAGGCAAGCATTCTACCACTGAGCTACATCCCTAGCCCTAAAATGCACATTTGATTAACTCCTTTGCCCTAATATTTTTAGATACCAGTAAATGGTAGGTTAGTGGATACCGTGTACAAAGTACCATTAGGACCAAACAGCTGGCAAAGCCAGTTCCTGCCTTCAGAAACAACAATGAACTGTTACATTCAGCAGCTGTTTGCTGTAATATCATAAAAATATGCATCAGTTGTGTGGCTCCAATTCATCCTCACAGCAAAGTTTTTAGAGTAGTGATGCTTTACTGTTATTTCACAAAGGTGAAAACATACCAAGGGAAATTCAAGACACACATGCCGAAAGACACATAGCCAATGTGGGGTTTTCCTGCAAGATTTACTAATCTCAAGATCTGAACTGACAGGTTGCATCTAGTTCTCCCATTTCCCCACTCTGGTTCTCAAGGCAGAGTGCTTTGAGAATTTGTTGTACCTGGCATGGTGGCACATGCCTATAATCTCAGAGGCTGAGGCAGGAGGATTGCTGAGAGTTCGAGGCCAACCTGGGCTCCATAGTGAATTCAAAGCCCACATGAACTATATACCAAGATCCTGTCTCAGAAAACAAAACAAAACAAACCAGGTACTTCATAGTTTGACCAGAGACAATCTGGTAGGAAGAGTCATACTAAATATTCAATAAAAACTAACAAATTGTTTCTCCTGTCACTTTCCTCTAGTGTTCGCAAAGTGAGAACAGGAAAAGTGTTTAATGGTGGACAGCAAGTTCATGGGGTATGTGGTTCCTTCTTTGTGGTTTTCCCTCACTTTTGTCTAATGACCAATCAACATTTCCTGGTATTTCTTTTTTATTTTATTTTTTTTTGTTTTTTTGAGACAGGGTCTCACTATGTAGTTCAAGCTCGCCTTGAACTCATGGCAATCCTCCTGCCTCAGCCTCCCAAGTATAGAATTACAGGCCTGTGGCACCATGCCCAGCTTCTGAGTATTTCTTGGGTTCCAGTAATATTGTCAGGAATTTAAGAACGTTGCTTCATCCAGTCCTTACACTTAATTCCCATTTGAAGTAAAGGTTTGTCATTCCCATATCGATAAACAAATTGAGAACGATTGCCCAGTGTGGTGATACATACCTGTAATTACAGCACTATATGAGGCTGAGGCAGGAGGAGTGCATGTTCTAACCCAGCCTGGACAACCTAGCGAGGCCCTGTCTCAAAATTGAAAATAAAAAGAGCTGGGGTAGCTCAGTGTGAAGTCTTTGGATTCAATCCCTGGTACCATACACACATGCAAAATTCCGAATGATCAAGAAGCCCAAAGAAAGCCAAAGGCAGAGCTGGTTTAGATGTCAGACCATCAGAGTTTTTATTCAGTGACTAGTTTACTCTTATGTTTGAAGAGATCCAACACCGGCCCCCCGCCCCGTACTAGAGATTGAACCACGGCCTCACACATGCTAGACAAGTGCTCTGCCACTGAACTACATCACCAGAACATTTTATTTTTTATTTTGAGACAGGGTTTCACTGTGTTGCCCAGGCTGAGTTCCAGTTTGTGATCTTCCTACCTCAGCCTCCAGAGTGCTGGGATGACAAGCCTGCGCCACCACGCCTGGCTGGTGGAGATGAAATGGAGATTAAATGCAGAGTCACACAGGAAACAAACCCTATAGCTCTGTTTCCATGACAGCTCCACAGGGGAAGTCATGTTGGCCAGTATGTGCTTTAAATGCATAGGGAAAAATTCCGATCTGTTTAAGGGGTCTCCTGTTTATATGGCACCATTTCAGAAGCAGTCTCTGTGCTTATAAGTGATCGACTCTCTGGTTTCTAACAAGTTAGTTCCAAGATTCTTCTTCATCCTCTGGCCCTTCCAAGTAACTAATCACCCTTGGGGTATTTTGTTGTTGTTGTTTTTGTACCAGGGATCGAACCCAGGACCTTGTGCTTGCCAGGCAGTCACTGTGCCACTGAGCTACATCCCCAGCCCCATTGTTGTTTTCAGATAGGATTTCACCATGTGACCTAGGCTGGCCTTGAACTTCTAAATTCAAGCGATTCTCCTACCTCAGCATTTCAACTGTTGGGATAACAAGCGTGAGTCACCATGCCCACCTAGCAATCATCTAAAAATAAGCAGTAACATATATACAAATAAAGCATGATATGAGCTGGGTGTGGTGGCACAAGCCTGTAATCCCAGCAGCACTCAAGAGGCTGAGGAAGGAGGATCACCTGGAGTTTGAAGCCAGCCTGGGCTACATAGCGAGACCCTGTCTCAAAACAGAAAAAGATGTTTTATGAATCATTACCCTGTGGAACTTTTTTTTTTTTGGTACTGGGGATTGAACTCAGGACCTTGCGCTTTCGAGGCAGGCACAGCACCACTGAACTACATCCCAGCCCCACCCTGTGGTTTTGTTTTTTGTTTTAATTATTTTTTCTTTCTTTTTTTGTTTTCCCCCTGTGGTTTTGATTATAGATCCAGAATAAATTGCAATATTCCAGAGAGGACCCAGGGACTCTCCCTAGCTTCCCCCAATGGTTCCATCTGACATGGCCACACAACCACATCAAAACAGGAAGTAGGGCCGGGGATTTAGCTCAGTGGTTTCACTGCCTGCTGCGCAAGTGCAAGGACCCGAGTTCAATCCCCGGCACACACACACACACAAAAAAACAGGAAGTGAAGGGCTGGGGATGTAGCTCATTGGTGCCGAGCCTCCCTGGCAAGACAAAGGTCCTGAGTTCTATCCTCCGTACAAAAAAAAAAAAAAAAAATCAGGAAGTGAAGCCAAGCATGGTGGCAGGCACCTGCAGTCCCATCGACTTGGGAGGCTGAAGCAAGAGAATCTCTTTGCCCCAGGAGTTTGAGGCCAGTTTAAGCAACAAAGCAAGACCCTGTCTCAAAACAAAAACAAAAACAAAACAAAAACAAAAGAACAGGAAGAAAATGCCTGTACAATTCAGATTTCACCTTTTATGTTTGTAATGTCATACATTAGGAAATTGTTTTTATTAGTTGTTTATTGTTAATGATTGTATTAAAATTCCATGATCCTTTCTCTAGGGTGTCCTGTATTTTCCATCTACAACGACATGCCTGATTAAACATCCATGTGAGAAAACCACAGCACTATATTTAGGGTAAATAGCAATTGTATGTACTGTTTCCTTCCACTTCTCTGGAAATTTAGGTTTTTGGTCATTCAGTCACTCAGCAAACATTAACAAAGTTACTGCATTGCTGGCTGCAGGCCTGCAAGGCATCTCCAGTCAGGGACTAGGAGTGGAGAGAAGAGGACGACACACCAGGAAGTAAAGTAACTAAGAAAATTGCAGTATGGTTTCTGCAGTCCCGCATCTATGCATTCTACCAACTCCCAATATCTTCTGAATATCTTTTCTAAAAATTGTGTCAGTACTGTACATGTCCACGCTTTTTTCCTCATCGTTATACAGTATACAATGTAGTATTTCCATAGCATTTCCATTGTATCTGGGACTGTAATTCACTGAAGATTATGTCAATTATAGAAGATGATTCATGTAGGTTACGTGCAAACATTACATATTTTATAAAAGGAACTTGAAGTCAGGCTCAGTGGTGCAAGCCTATAATCCCAGCAACTGGGGAGGCTGAGGCAGGAGGATCACAAGTTTGAGGCCAGCCTGGGCACCTTAGTGAGGCTCTGTCTCAAAAAGTAAAAGGGCTAAAGATATCACCCAGTGGTACAGTACCCCTGGGCTGGCTCCCTTGTATCACAAGTAAAGGGACTGTCACATTGGCAGATGTTGGCATCCTTGGGAAGAGAGTCCAGGAACCAATTTTGCAAGGATGCTGAGAGACAACTGTATAGCAGGGAACGGTCTGTTGAAGTTGCTTGATATAAACATGGGGCAGAAAATGTCTAGGCAGTTTCCAATGAGGAGTTGATGTCAAAACTGGGTTTTGAAGGATGAATAGGAGTTCCCTGGGAGGCAGAAACGCTGTGGTCTTGGAGAAGAGTTGTCAAAGGAACAGGAACATCATGTACTATACTTAGTGACTCGGGTACCAAGCAGAACACTAGCTATTTGGCCTCATCCCAAAGGCCACAGAAGATTTGGGGCTGTGAGATTTGTGCTTGTGTAGAAGAGGCACTGAAGATAGGAGCCAGGACTACAGAAATGTGGAGGCCGAGATATGAGTGCTCAGATTGAAACAAAACAGAACATGATAAAAGCAAACAAAAGAAACACCACACAGAAGAGACTCACATGGTAGGCATTCAAGACTAACCTGGACTGCATCACAAGACTCTGTCTCAAAAACAACAACAACAAAACAGAAATAAAACCCAACTAAACACATTACACACTTGCAGCAATGTACCACACGGTAGCTTTTAAATAGGTACAATTACCATGTGTCAATTGAAATTTTTTAAATATATTTTTAAAAAATCAGGGCGGGGATTTAGTTCAGTGGTTCCACTGCCTGCCTTGCAAGTGCAAGGTCCCGAATTCGACCCCCAGTATAAAAAAAAAACCCAAACAAAAATCATCAGGGTTTATAAATCAGCCATGACCAATTATAAAAAGGGAATTCTGAAAAGTACCATTCACAATAGCCATAAAAACTTTTTTTTTGCAATGGCTGGGGATCAGTTAAAACGCAACTGAGCATGGTGGTGCATGCTTGTAATCTCAGCCTTCAGGAGGCTGAGGCAGGAGAATCACCAAAGTTTGAGGCCAGCCTAGGTTGCATAGTTAGTTCAAGGCCAGCTTGAGCTATGTAGCGAGACCCTGTCTCAATTCCCCACCAAATAAAATAAAATAAAATAAAATAAAGCATGTAGGAATTAATTTAGCATTTCCTTATTGTTGAAAACCATAAAATGTTTCCAGGGTAGGAGAAAGCCACCTTGAATATAGAAATGGTATACCATGTTCATGGACAGACTTTCCCCTCTTAAAAGTTTCTGTATGAAGGAACCTATTGTTTTTTATATACCCATCTCTCTTCTGAAATAGTTTACTTTAATGCAATAGACCCATATAAATTATAAAACTGAAGCTCCTCTTGTCACTTAATGTGCATTTTATTTCATATTTGATGTGGCTCTCCACCTTTTAATTTTTTTTACAGTACCAGTGATCTAACCCAGGACCTTTGCACTGAGTTACATCCTCATTGTTTTTTCTTTAAATTTTGAGACAGGGTCTTGCTAAGCTGTCCACACTGGCCTCAAATTTTTTGTCCTCCTGTCTCAGCCTCCCAAGTAGCTGGGATGACAGGTGTGTGCTGTTGAGGCCTG